ACAGAACCAGAAAAACAATCAAATGCCTTTTTGTGCGAACAGAACGTTAGCTGATGAATTTGTGGTCAAAACAAAAAGAAGCTTCTTGTTTCAGTTTTAGTCCCTGAGCAGAAAATGTAAAAGCTGTTAAACAGCTGTATAAACGGCATTTTTTTACCACTTAAAAAAATGTATCATTTATTTACGTGTTAACAAATAAGAACAAGAACTCCTTGAATCAGTTCTTTATCCTGTTAAAAAAAACATTTACAGATGTATTTAAACCTACATTCAGCCGTGTTTTTTTATTTGTGAAGCTGGGATTATTTAACACAAGGAAACCGTCGGCAGATTATATTATCCAAATCTTTACCAAATAGATTTATCAACTTACCGATCGTTAACTTCCTTCAGCTGCAGAACAAGAGCAGTCGTCTCTTCAGAATGAATCTGCTTCCTAACTTGTTGGTTTTTAAAGGATAATGCAAATGAGGATGATGGTGAGATTAACTTGGAGTGATAAAGGTTGGACGATGTGCTGCCTGTTTTTACCTCGGGGAGGGGAAACATGAACCAAGTCGGTTGTTCTCAAGCTTTTATGACCAACTTTTACCAACCGCTCGGTTTTCATTCAGTTTTTCTCCAAACTTCTGCTGATCCCCACGTGCTGGAAACAGATATTTGCTTTGCACTAAGTGAAAGAAACGGTCAGACGTTCAGCAGCTTTTAATGATTTATTTGAACTTTTCTTTAAGCTGGGTCGAACGGATATAAAATGTAAACATCGCTGCTTTTTAAAAATACAGATTGAGTACACAAGTGTGACTTTATTGTGTATTTTCTGACTCGTTGTCAAAGTATTTGGTTAAACCTTAATTTCTGTACCTCAGTCGTGGGCTTTTTGGATCCATCAACAAACTTCTGGTTTAATTCTGGCTGACGTTTGACCGCTCCAGTTGTTTCAAACTGATCGGTTTCGTTCAAAGGTCAGATTATTTTTTAAATATTTGTCACAGTAACACATTTTCAGTCATGCTGAGGTTGGAGCTCTTCATGTCAGCCTGCTTTGTCCAACAATGTTCAGTCAGGTCATCTGGATGGTTTCTTTTTTTTTTGTTTGTTGCAGAGACGTTTCGTCCTTCATCCAAAGGACTTCTTCAGTCTGAGGAGCCACCAACAAACTGAGCATTCCCACAAACAGCACACTCCCATAGTGGGGAAAAACAGTTTGCTGGTGCTGAGATGGGTGACCTGACTGAACATGGTTGGATTATTGAGCATGAACTTGGTGCTGGTTCTGATGTGTTTGGATCATTGTCTGGCTGGAACACCCAACGATGTCCGGCTTTCAACACTAGACTGGAGTAAAAAATGAAGAAGAATTTACTCCACCTTTATGCAAGTCACCAGTGTTGCATCATGATGCTGCCACCACCGTGCTTGCTGGTACATTCAGACCTGAAAGCCTCACCTTGCCTCTTGCCATTGTGGCCAAAGGCTCATCCGTTTGAATAGTTGAGAGAATCTGTTGTTCTTTAATCTGATGATGACAAAATAAACTTTGTTCAGTTTCACTAAGTGCTCTCAAACGAATCCCATTTGTGCTTTTAAAATGAAACTACGACAAGCGGTGTTCAGAAACCTTCTGACACTCTGCGGGAAATACAAACGTGTGTACGCAATTGTTTTTTCTCAAAAAAAAAAACCTTCAAAGCTATTTGTCACGTAATCCTCCAACCCGGAGAGACGACGACTTGATGCCTGAAATTAATACTGGAGCTGCATAATTGTGCAGTTTAGTGCAGATAAAAGTTTAATTAGTTTAATTAACAAAATACAGTAAATGCTGTTTTTTATCTGGGAGGTTATCCTGATCACTGTTCTGATGTTTTCTGGACGTCTGCAGACATTTGAGCTTTTTTTATGTTTTTACTTTGTTTTTAGGACAACGTGAGCTCTTTAAATCACGCAGACTTTATTTAAATCAGCGAAGACTGAAACGGGATTACTGATGCAAAACTGGATAATCCCTGAGTGCAGGACACCCAGGGGAACAAAAACATCTTCAAACCAAACATTTTAGATCTTTATTCCTGATAAATCAGCTTCTCAGCACAATTTCACTTTGTTTGTCGAACTTATCGATTGTAAAATGAGCTGGAACGTTGTTTTATTTCAAACTGTGTTGAAATGTACACATTTTCAATCTTTCTGCTGTTATTCTTAGATGAATGAGCTTCTGGAGCCCAAACGTCATGAAGTGAAGGCCTGTGTTTAGTCATTTCGTGGTGCGTTCATGGTCCAGTCCACGCGCCTCAGACTCTTCAGACCTTTGAATTCAAACGTATCGTCCTCGTGCAAAGAGCCCCTGAAGCTCCAAATGGGCTTAAAACAGAAATTAAACCACAACTTTTGGGTGGTGTTGGTTTTAAGTTTCATAGGAAAAATATGTAAATGTGATCAAAACTTTGTTTTGATGGATGAATATTTAATTGTTTTTATAGATTTTAAAATGAACAGTGTTTGGTGCTTAAATATTTGCACATTTGCTGTATTAATTCAACACAATAAACGGATGAATAAAACGAGTAATTTAATATTTTTCCTATAGCTGTGCTCATAAACAAGAATATCATAAATATTTACAATAATTGTTTTGTTTTTGTTGATCATCTTTTAAATTATTGCATTTTAACCCAAACACTGTCTTTGTTTGGATTGATCTTTTTCCCGGAGCGTGATGGAAATTCATCTTGTTTGAGTTAAAGCAGCTTTTTTCCTCATTTCTGTTGATCGTTTTCAGAAACGCATCGTTAACATTTCCAGAAAGTTCCCTCGGCTCCACGTTGGTGATTCGGATCGTTGCTTCAGGGAAATCATCCTGAGCTCCGGAGCCAAGGAACAGACCAGTCGTCGTTCTGAAGCCATTTACATTCAAACATCCGCCGATTGTTCAGTCAAATAACACGACCTCCAGTGACCTACAGGACGAATTCTGCTTTACATGAACGTTTCACGTTTTACAGTTTTCAAAAGTACAATTGTGACCCATCAACAAAACAGTGAAGCCATGTCATCTGGACCGGTTTCTTTGAGGGAGAAACGTTTCGTCTTTCATCTGAAAGACTTCCTCAGTCTGCGGCCTGCCACCAACATCTGTCCCATGAGGAGCCTTCTGAACAACATCTGTCCCTCCCATGAGGAGCCTTCTGAACAACATCTGTCCCATGAGGAGCCTTCTGAACAACATCTGTCCCTCCCATGAGGAGCCTTCTGAACAACATCTGTCCCATGAGGAACCTTCTGCACAACATCTTTCCCATGAGGAGCCTTCTGCACAACATCTGTCCCACGAGGAGCCTTCTGAACAACATCTGTCCATCCCATGAGGAGCCTTCTGAACAACATCTGTCCCATGAGGAGTCTTCTGTACAACATCTGTCCCACGAGGAACCTTCTGCACAACATCTGTCCCATGAGGAGCCTTCTGAACAACATCTGTCCCACGAGGAACCTTCTGAACAACATCTGTCCCATGAGGAGCCTTCTGAACAACATCTGTCCCACGAGGAGCCTTCTGAACAACATCTGTCCCACGAGGAGCCTTCTGAACAACATCTGTACCACAAGGAACCTTCTGAACAACATCTGTCCCACAAGGAACCTTCTGAACAACATCTGTCCCATGAGGAGCCTTCTGAACAACATATGTCCCACGAGGAGCCTTCTGAACAACATCTGTCCCACGAGGA